AGGACAATACTGATGATTTGGAGAACGAGTTTGGAAGCCTTGGCAGAACCGAGCCTCACCACATTGCTGAAGCCATCCTCTCTTCTCGCCTTAATGTTGGCCGTGGTTCTCAAATTGATGGTTCAGGGTTCCGGACACCGTCAGATTTGGATTCTGCTTCTGTTGCTCCTGACATCCCTCTATTGACCTATGGTCAAGAGGTGAGTTAATTACACAGTTAGCTTGTTCTTATCTATAATTATTATTAGCAGTTCATACAATAACAATGGATTTTCTTTTGAAGGATGAAGCGATTTCCCCCGATAAGCATGCTCTCATTGTGCCTCCATTCATGGGTCGTGCAAAACGGGTCTATCCAATGCCATCTCCTGATTCTTCTATGCCTTGTATGTCAATGGAAGCTAATTAAGTCTAATATTTAGTGGATTCTGGAGGTCATGGTTGTTTAAATTGATTTTCTGTTTCTTAGTCTGTGATGTTTGGTGTTTATGCTGCAGTGCAACCAAGGCCAATGGATCCGAAAAAGGATTTAGCTGTGTATGGGTATGGTACTGTCGCATGGAAGGAAAGAATGGAGGACTGGAAGAAAAAGCAGAACGAGAAACTTCAGGTGGTTAAACATCAAGGAGATGGTGGAAAGGACAATGGAGATGAATTTGATGATCCAGATTTGCCCACGTAGGTCCATTTCTCCACTCCTTTTAGGATATATTGCTTAAATTTGCCGGAGCCTTTCTTTCTTTATGTATTTCTTTTGCTCTTTTCTGAGTGAAGAAAAGTATGGATACCATTTAGTTGATCCCAAACGGCAATGGCTTCAACAAGCAATTGGTGTATTTAGATCAATATTGGAAGGTCACTGACTGAAAAAAAAGCAAAATTATTTTTAGGCAGCTATCAGTTACATGAAGTTGCTCATCTAGTTATGTAACTGTTGCGTATTCTATGGGAAAGAAGGGGTTTTGAAACTACAAACTTTTTGGCAGTTAAAGACTTAGATTGAACAACACAGAAATTCTCAATTGCGTATCTTTGCATACAAATGAAATCCTAACAAGGAATTTGGAAACTTAGGCTGTGTATTTCAGTGAGCTGATAATCTATTTCACCTGATTAACAAAGTGTATTTTCAGTACTCTTACCAAAGTCATCAATCACCAATTTTGTTAAAGTTATTTGTGCATTTCCTTCATCAACTTACTGATTTCAAGAGGATTAATTTTTTTTTTCTTTCTTAGGATGGATGAAGGCAGGCAACCACTTTCCCGGAAACTACCTATTCCTTCAAGCAAGATAAGTCCATACCGATTGATAATCCTACTTCGGCTCGTGATTCTTGGCCTCTTTTTTCACTATCGAATTCTTCACCCAGTCAATGATGCATATGGGTTGTGGCTAACATCAGTAATTTGTGAAATATGGTTTGCTGTCTCCTGGATATTGGATCAATTCCCAAAATGGTATCCAATTGTGCGAGAAACATACCTTGATCGATTATCATTAAGGTTCGTTCTGTCTCTGTTTGTGTGCAATTATGTATATCAGCGATGACAAACTAACACAGGTTTTATCAGGTACGAAAAAGAAGGGAAACCATCTGAGTTAGCAGATATAGACATATTTGTGAGTACGGTTGATCCGATGAAAGAGCCGCCGCTTATCACTGCAAACACGGTTCTCTCAATCCTTGCAGTGGATTATCCAGTTGACAAGGTTGCGTGCTATGTTTCTGATGATGGCGCGGCCATGCTGACTTTTGAAGCCCTGTCTGAGACATCTGAATTTGCAAGAAAGTGGGTTCCTTTTTGTAAGAGGTACAGTATTGAACCACGGGCTCCAGAATGGTATTTTGCTCAGAAGGTTGATTACTTGAAAGACAAAGTAGATGCTACATTCGTTAGGGAACGTCGTGATATGAAGGTTAGTTACTTGTAAACGTCCAGCATTTGAGCTTCTTGCAGAAATCCTTTATGAAGAACAAACCTGCCCAAGATAAAGCAAAGAGTACAATGCATCTTAGCAATTTAAAAAAGGAGCACTAATTTCAAAAGATTCTATAATAATAATAATTTTCTACTACCTTTTACTGATAGTAAGTGTTCTGAGTTGATACTAACATGCTGTTTTTTATGTGTTTTTACAGAGGGAGTATGATGAATTTAAAGTTAGAATAAATGGATTGGTTGCCATGGCACAGAAGGTCCCTGAGGAGGGTTGGACAATGCAGGATGGAACTCCATGGCCAGGGAACAATGTCAGGGATCATCCTGGAATGATCCAGGTAGCAGTTATCCATTGAACGAGGGATAATTCTTTTGAATGCACTAAAACATTATAGGTTCGATACCATTAATTCAAGACGAAAACCTTACTAGTGTATTTTTTTGTCTGTCTTATAGGTTTTCCTTGGGCATAATGGCATTCGTGATATTGAAGGAAATGAATTACCACGGCTAGTTTATGTTTCTCGTGAAAAGAGACCAGGATTTGATCACCACAAAAAAGCAGGGGCCATGAATGCTTTGGTAGAGCACTCTCTCGCTTTTATCGATATTTCCTTTGCGGTCTTGAATGTCCACCCATTTAACTTATTGTCTTTTTTTGTTTGGATGTTAATGAAGGTACGTGTGTCAGCAATCATCTCAAATGCACCTTACCTGCTGAATGTTGATTGTGATCACTATATCAACAACAGTAAGGCGCTTCGTGAAGCCATGTGTTTTATGATGGATCCCATCTCAGGCAAGAAAATCTGTTATGTGCAGTTCCCTCAAAGATTTGACGGAATTGATCGACATGATAGATACTCAAACCGCAACGTTGTATTTTTTGATGTATGTAAAACAGATATCACTAACATTGATATATTCTTCAAGACTGTTCTCTTTTGTCTTCTAGAGGAAACTTACTTCTTTCTTCTTCAAAATGCAGATCAATATGAAAGGACTGGATGGGATTCAAGGACCCATTTATGTTGGAACTGGTTGTGTCTTCAGGAGGCAGGCACTCTATGGATATGATGCCCCAGTCAATAAGAAGCCCCCTGCAAAGACATGTAACTGTTTGCCTAAATGGTGCTGCTGTTGTTGCAAATCAAGGAAGAAAAATAAAAAAGGAAAATCAAATGATAAAAAGAAGAAAAATAAGGACACATCAAAGCAGATACATGCTCTGGAAAATATAGAGGAAGGAATTGAAGGTAACAAGTGACTTCAAACCAGTTTCAGAGTTATATAACAATGTTTTGCAAGCATTCCAATATAGATTATAGTTGCTTAAAGAATAAAAATCAATTTATTTGTTCCAAATATATCACGTTTGTTCCTGAACTTCTCTTGTATAAGGTAGTAGCTTGATTTGTCCACTTGAGGTGGCTTATATTTTACTCCAGTTATTCATGTTGTTACTCAAACCTTGCAAGCAGGAGTAGACAATGAAAAGTCATCCATGCCACAGATAAAATTTGAGAAAAAGTTTGGGCAGTCGCCAGTGTTCATAGCTTCAACACTCATGGAAGACGGTGGAGTTCCGAAAGGTGCAAGTTCTGCAGCCCTCTTGAAAGAAGCCATCCATGTCATTAGCTGTGGTTACGAAGATAAGACAGATTGGGGAAAAGAGGTAAGCAGAGCCCAGATTTATTCCTTTTTTAGTTTAACATTTTGAATGGCTGGCTAACCAATTCTTGTTGTTTTCTAGGTTGGATGGATTTATGGCTCTGTCACGGAGGATATTTTAACAGGCTTCAAAATGCATTGTCATGGTTGGCGATCAGTCTATTGCATACCCAAGATACCTGCATTTAAGGGTTCAGCTCCTATTAACCTCTCAGATCGTCTTCATCAGGTTCTTCGGTGGGCTCTGGGATCTGTTGAGATTTTGTTGAGTAGGCATTGTCCAATATGGTATGGCTATGGATGTGGCTTGAAATGGTTGGAACGATTTTCCTACATAAACTCAGTTGTCTACCCTCTTACATCCATTCCTTTGGTTGCCTACTGCACATTGCCAGCCATCTGTCTTCTTACTGGGAAGTTCATTGTCCCTGAGGTAATTATCAAAATATTCCCACGATGACAATCATGGATGGGGTTATCTCTCTATTGATTCACTTAGTTGCTGAGGTTTCTGTTGATTATTTTTTTTATCTGTTGCAGATTAGCAATTATGCAAGTATTATTTTCATGGCCCTCTTCATATCCATTGCTGCGACTAGTATTATTGAGATGCAGTGGGGAGGTGTTGGCATACATGATTGGTGGAGGAATGAGCAGTTTTGGGTGATTGGTGGTGTTTCGTCACACCTATTTGCTCTCTTCCAGGGTCTGCTTAAAGTATTAGCTGGAGTGAACACAAACTTCACTGTTACATCCAAAGGAGGAGATGATGGAGAGTTTTCTGACCTCTACATCTTCAAGTGGACATCTTTGCTCATCGCTCCTTTGACCTTATTGATCATTAACATTATCGGAGTTGTAGTTGGGGTTGCAGATGCCATCAGTAATGGCTATGACTCATGGGGTCCACTCTTCGGCAGGCTATTCTTTGCGATCTGGGTCATTGTCCATCTGTACCCATTCCTCAAAGGATTGATGGGAAAACAGGACAGGGTTCCCACAATCATTATAGTCTGGTCAATACTTCTAGCTTCAATCTTTTCACTTCTATGGGCTCGAGTCAACCCATTCCTGGACAAAGGGGGTATTGTTTTAGAAGTTTGTGGTTTGAATTGTGACTAGATAGATATACACAGCATTATAGAAGATCCAGATGGGGTTGGGTTTCGATGTACAAAGCTTGTTTGAGAATTTGCGTAGATGGATTGCTGTTTCCAATTTAGGCATTATTTGACATGAACTGGTTAGCTTCAAGGATCGTCCTGAGCAAATGAGAATCTGTCGAGGAAGATCAGAGGGAAAGCTGTGTAGATACAAACATTTCTGGGGTCTGTTTGGCAAAATGTCAGTTGATTGTTTTTTGGAGGTGTAAGTGAGGATATTTTGTGGGGTTGGAAGTCATAAAATCAACCAGTAATGTCAGGAGGTATGAAGCTAGTTTATTCAAAAATTTATATTTCCTCCACCAATAAGGGGGCTTGAAAGGAGTAAATACGCTTGTAATGATTTGATGGTTGCCCTGTGTACTGTTAAAAATACTGAGAGAATAATGCAACACTTCTGGATATACCATTCCCTTTTTAAGTGTACTGTTTGCTCTATTCTTGCTTCTCGGATCAAAGACAAATGGATGTTTTTCAATGACCGGGAAAGGTTGAAACAATTCCAGTCTCCCAACAAAAACCAAAGTACCGAGGTTTTTTTTTTTTTTTTGAAAAAAAAAAAACGCAATTCTTAATGTTAAATCTTATATTATTTTTCATCAAGATCATCCGACTTCCGTCCATGGAATTTCAACTCACTCTGTATGGTTTCTTTCTGAGCCTCTGGATCTTTACTCATCGCATATAATTCTACTGGAGTAACTAAGATTGTTACTCCAGCATTCTCATCCAGATCAGGAGGAGATTGCAGTTCTTTTGATTAGTAATCTTCCACAACCTCCTCGTCAGAAATTGCATTCTCTTTTGACTCATAGTATCATTAAGCCACTTAATCATTAAATTTTTTTAATGCTCCTCCTACCTCTTCATGTTTCTTTCTGTAGTAAAAGTTGCAGACTCCATGTGAAGTCTTGAAGCCTTATTTCCTCAAGGTTTTGATTGTTCACGGTCAGAACTTCAATAACTATCTCCTGCATTGAACAAATAAAAAACTTTTCAGTACCATGATAACATATTTATCATATTGGCCTTTTGGATATTTTCTTTCTCATAATCACAATACATGTGAGTAAGATTCTTAATGGGAATACCAGAAGTTTCACTGAGTTCATTATGATAATCCTTCATATTTGCCACTGTAATAAGCAGTAATAATGTAGTTAAAGTGGCCTTCAATCCTGTTAAGTTTCTGATACTCCCTCAACACTATCTGTTTCTGATCCTTTTTGAAGTGAACTTTTGTTATATCCAAGTACGTTCTCATCTATTATATCACTTCCAAAGCCCACGTCCTCAGTTGATGAGTTTTCTGTAAGAGATCAGAATGTTCACTTGCAGAACAATAAAATGGAATAAGATATCTTGGCTCTAACAAAGAAGATTTCTTTTTGGACTTGTAAATATTGTAGACTCGATACAAATCCAGCCTTATTTATTAATTGTTTTGATAATTCAGATTAAGATATCATTGATATAACCAAGAAAATAGAAGTGTGAGGAAGTGAGCTAACGAGAGGGATAGTTCAAAGTACAATTGTCGAGCTTGAGAAAATGCTCTGTATAAGTAACTACCAGATCTGAAAATAATTTTAACATGTCAACATGTGTAAATATGTCAGCTTTTGCCACTGTTTCTTCAACAGAATCGCTTATTGCTAGTAAAAGTCTCCATGGGAATACCTGAAGTTCCATAATATCCATTCTGATGATCCTCGTTAACTGCCTCTTGAATAAATAGTTTGGATTCACATTGGCAGCCTTCAATTCTACTTGTTTCTGATCATCCTCCAATCCTACTTGTTTCGAATACTTTTGAGATGGATTATTGATCCAAAGTCCTTTTTCTTAGTTGATGGTTCTTTTGCATCAAATTTGTTCTCCATATCCGAGAGATTAGAATGTTCATCTGCAGAAGAATAACACAGCAGTATGAAATCATATAAAACACATCTTGGGAAAGAAAATAACCGAGTGTTAAAGCTCTAGAAGTCCCTCTGTTTGCATCAACCATCATTTACTCTTGTACATTAATACTGAGTTCCTTGCTCCTTACAACAGATTTGGGTTCTTATGAAGTTCTCCCAAGAAGAAAAGAACGAGTAATTAGCTTCCAGTTCCTTCGGTATAAAGATGAGGAATAACAACTACAAAAACACAGTAGTGCAGTTTAATGGAAGTGAAAGAATCTATGTACTTTGGCAAATAGACAAATATAGCACGGTTTGTATTTTGAAGCTTTAGAATTATGCTGGAACAATCCTAATCTAGACAGTAAAGAGTGTCCAAGGCAGTAATGTCAGAAATCAAAACCTTCTTCATGGTTTGGGTCAGGAACAGTAACGGTAGTCATGATTGGAGAGGACCCTGTGGATAACATTTTGTATTGCAGCAACCGATGTTGGTCATGTTTCACTTCACTCTCTCCAATTGTCTTCTACGTTAAAAGATTAAACAAGTTTAAGGTGAGAAAATGAGACAACATTTCAAATTTTCAGCAAGCTTTCTAACTAAAATGAGATTAAAAAAGTACAAGATGAGAGGCATACAAAGTTATAGAAAAATTAATGTTTAAGACATCTTAACTGTTCCAATATAGAAAATATTTACTTTGCCAGCATTTGGTAACATCACTATAGATCAAATTTATTTATGTACAAAGATATTATCTATACAATATAATCCGAGATATCAGCATCAATAACTTAGGGTATGTTTGTGTTTCTTTTAATTCTATCGAATAAGCAGAGAGACAAAGAGAGAAATTAATGAATTCAGGCATATTAATGTCTTTAGAAGAAGCATTAGATGATTGAATCAAGTGTGCTGAAGAATTATTTTGTTATAGCAAGACCATTAGTTGCATATATTATTCTTGGGTTATAAGAGTTTGCTTTTCAATACAATTTTGCTCATGTACACAAGATAAAGATACTTGATTTACTTGATTTTTCCTTAAAGCTTATGTTTTTTTGGGTATCTATGTAGTTTATAACAAGTTTTCATAGTATGTCCAATCATGTTATAATGAGAATATATAGATATATTCTGATTAGTTTAAAAAATATCATTCACTAGAGTGACATGCTATGTTGCAACAATAGTAGTAATATCTTTCACAATTTGAACCGGATCTTCTTATAATCTTACTTGAGTTTTTAACTATAAAAGTTAAACCTCTATTAAAAAAATTATACAGTGAGACATTTCTATATTATTCTTTTTATTGGATTATGAAATAAATTTTATTCAAGTTCAGAATAACTTTATCAATAATATTTGTATCTTAATCAACTTTATGACTCGTTTAATTCCATAAAAAATTTTATTATCAATCTCTTTATAGATACTCGATTATACTTTTTAACCCATCACAATTTTAGTTTAGAATCAATTCATAATTCAACAACTCATCAAATAATACTTTCAATTTAGAGAAGTGAACATTTATAGTATCCTAGTTCTATGTCAGATTTGTTATTCCTTACTTTACCTCGTTGATTTTTTGTGCATTTTGTTGTGCGCATCTTTATTCTAACTCGATCCATAACTAGTGAACCATATCTGCATAAAATGTACTACATTTAATGTTAATTAAGAGTACATTTTGTATCCATGTGATGCCTACATCATTACATTTGATGATGCTCGGATATGTTAGTTCTTTTAAACTTTCACTTATAAGCCCTAATTATTTTTAATACAAAGTGCCCTCTTCGTCCTATAGGTCCCAAGTGTGAGAGTTACTTAGAGCGAGCTAACTGCCTTACGAGCAACATTCCTGAACTTTCGTTTGGAATCGAGAATATTTCCATCCTAGAAAGTTAGCATTTGATTATAATTTTCATTCTCCATCATGACTCCAATGCTATAATAGATTTCACTGAGAAAACATTATATCAAAGGACGAAAGAAATAAATGAAATATGAAGTTGCATCTCAAAGTTTCTTGAAATGGCGAGAAAGAAAAGGAATAAGGAGAAAACTAGGCTTTGGGTTTTCTATCTCACCTAATGAATGAAAAAATGAATTTACATATATATATAGAAAAGAATGCATGCATACCTGCTTATACTTTAACCAACCTAAGTTGAATAAAAAATGGGAAGACAAAAATGAAACAGAATGACAACGTAGAGTAGCCTATTTCTGTTCTGCATTCTTGTTCACACACGGGTTTATGCACAGCCGGCAGTGTGATCCAATCTGGCGTCGTGGACTTTGAGTCACATTTTGAACAATATATATTGATGTATATACACCACCAGAAATTCCACAAAATCAATATCAACTACTCCCTCTGGGTATTATGCATACTGCATACAGGGTAACCCCTGGGTCATCCCTCTAAGGATAACGAAATCGTTTGAGTCTCCTATAAGGCTGTAACTGACTAATTAAAAGGCAGAAGGACTTTTCTTTAATCTTCTCTATTCATCTCTAAGGCACAAGGACCAACCTGCATAGCACAGACTGGCTACGGAATATGTTAAATTCTGTAAACACCAATTTCAAAAGTCACTTTGAATATGATGAGTAAAATACAAAAAGTTGTATCCAAAAAATTTGCTTCTCATGCATTGTAACAAAATCATCCGGGGTATGACGACTTCTCCCAAAAGAAGAATCGACTAGTACAGAACCAATAGCAATTAATCTTTCATATAATTACTACATCTAGGTGTTTATTGCACTTGTGTAAATCTGCTAGCTTGGCTTATATACAATGATCAAATATTGAAAGAAAGGAAGAGAAATGAGTTTCTACTTTGGCATCTATTGATGCTATTCATTTTCCAGCCCTTGCTTCACTTATTCTTCTGCTAGGGCATTTCCCATTCACGGCCAGCAGGACAAACCAGACCAGAATCCATCTCAATACTGCCTTACTCAACTAATTCCTCCAGGGAAAAAGAATTGAAGTCAAGACCATTTTATTGGCAATGGCAGTACAAACTCACCAGAAGACTTAGTTGCTCACAGAAGCCATAACCATGACCATCTTATCGAGAAACCTTGCCATCTGGTTACTAGTGAAAGAAAAAAGATACATGTAAAGAGAGTTAACTTTCCTAACTAATTATATCTGAAAATACTAATTTGACTATTGTAATAACTTCATAATATATACAATGATACTATAAGAACATTCAGGTGCAAATATCATATATTTTGTTATGAGCAGTAAAGAATACCATTATTTTGTAGTAATATATTGTTTTTCACAAAACGTATTAACATAATTATGTCGTTATGTATTCCAGTTCAGCAAACTGCAAACTATCTAACCTCAAGCATGCCAAAAACATAAGTAGAATAAGAAAGTTAATAATTCCGTTCCACCGATTCAATTAATCTATTCTATCTCACCCAAAATGACGAACATATCGCTAATAGTTGATTCCAAATATCAAACCCAAATGAAAAAGGTGATAAGAAAGTCAAGGTAAATTGAATCTGATGATTCTGATCTCGAAATATAGAGCTTATTTGATTTTCTTCAGTGAAACCAAAAACATGTTAAAAGAAATAAAATTTCCTTGGCAAAAAAGGAGAGCATTTGGATCTTAGAAAGATAAAGTGCACGGAGTGGAAAACGTACTCCAAATCAACATCAATACTACTATTCTTTAGCATTAGCAGGATTTACTCCTTCCAAACTCCCTCACTTCAGATCTTTCAGATCAAACCTTAATTTAATTTACACGACACCCAAAATTTTCTTCCCATTCAATCCCCTGTTTTCGTAGGAAACAAGGAGGATTATATCATAATAAGTACTAAAAAACATTTTTGGAGAGGAAAAAACAGAAAACGAGTCAGAAATCTCGTGTGGAAAGTGCCGCTCATAGCACCATGTATGGTGCTGCGTTAGCACAATAATTTCATCATCCTCATCTTTGATGGAGGGGAAATTTCAAACACATTGAAAGAAAAAATAAACCTCAATAACCACGTTCTCTCTTTCGAACACATATGGCGGTCTCCGACTCGCTGTTTGAGGCAGGAGGAGGAAACGCGAGGGGAAGATACGCTTTTTATACTGCCATTCTCTGCTGATGATGTGTTGCCCTAATTTTGCTTGTAGCAGGTTTTCTTTTAAATTAAAAAGGAGGTCTAAAAATTATTAGTTTTAAGCAGTTACAAAAAAGAGAATTCCTAGTTTATAAAATTTTACTTCAATAAACTAATAAATTTTAAAATTATCATTAAAGTATAAATATATTATTTTTATAATAATATAGAAAAAAATTATTAGGAAAAACACACAAAATCAGAAAAAAAAAATCTCTAAATTTTTTATTTATTTTTAAAAATAAATAAATAAAATTTACCAGTTACGAAATTATTTTATTCCTCCCGATACATTATGATTTGTTTGAATAATATTTAATTTAATCATTATAATTTTATTAGCATATAAGTTAATTAAATATTAAATTTTATTGTACTTATAATATATTTATAAAGTTATAAATTTTATGATCAAATTTAAATTTAAACTTATAATTTTTACATAATATTTAAAAAAAAATAAATTTACAATATACTAATTAGCACAAATTAGAACAATAAAAAATTAAAATAATAACGATTATTGATTAAGCATTCACAATTACAAGAGTGACGATGAGCGATACTGAATCAGAGGACAAGTGGCTTTCTCACTTTCCTGAACAAAATTTTCAAGATCTTCTTCAGAAACTTGACTTTTTTCTGAGTTTCAGTTTGAGAGGTAAGCGGATTGTAGCGTATTAGATAGTCAGATCTACTCCGTTTAAATTCTTTAGTTTTTTTATTTCTTACAATATGTTTATCAGTCAACGATGATCCAAAAGTTTCGAAAGAATAAAATTTCTTATCGTTCTCCATTCTCGCACGCGCTTTAGTTTTATGAAAGTCTTCTTCTTCGGAGCTATCGACCTGTAAAATTACTGTTCTGTCAATGACGATGAAAACTTATTCTCTCTGCACTTTCTGTAGTTATAGTATGAACTCACTAACATTCACGCACATATATATATATAGGTGTGCAATGTAATGCCGTCAGTTCTCCGATCTCCTGAAGGAAATAGGAAAAGTATATTTAAATCGAATTTCTTTTTTTTTTTTTTTGATGAATTTACATCGAATTAGGAAACTTTATATATACATATATATATATATATATATATATATTCGTGAAAGACGGTTTAAAATCTAAACAAAATTCTGGTATTGTTTTAATTCATTCCGTTAATTGATATCACCATGGACACTTGTTTATGGGCTTGATTTCAAATAATTTCATAAGTATAATTTTTTTAATTATAAATAAATTTCACGATTCCTACAATTATTTAACAATGTAATTAGCGTAAATTAATTTGTGTTTAGCTAAATATTAAGATTTTAATTTTTTGAAAATTAATTATATGTTTACAAAAAAAATAATAATAATTTTTGAAAAATATATTATCACTGTTTATTATATTAACGGAACAAATGAGTTAGTTGTTAATGTGAATATGAAAATTAACTCTAAGGAATATTAAGTAAGAGTCAATGTAAAGATAATGTTCTTAATTTTTATCTTAATTTATATTTTTATAGTATAATTTCGTAACTTAAAAATATTTAAAATAAATTAATTGTCATAATAGTATAATTATGCAATAATTAGTGATGAACTCGATTGTAATAATATTTTGAGTATCTAATTAATAAATATTTTTTTGCAAAGTATTTGAGATAGAGTTTTATAGTAGTTTGTTAGTAAATAATATTTAATTTAATTATTACGGTATTATGTCTTATTGTATTTATGTATCTCATATTTTATCATATATTATTTATTTTATTTGATATATTATAATAATATTTATTATTTATAATTTTAAATATCACTTGTTGATAAAAAATTAAGATAGAAATTTGAAAAATTTGCGCGATGAATAGGAAATAAAAGGGTGAAGGAGATTTGAGGCCGAGATATGAAAAAAATGGAAAAAAAAAATAAAGGAACGAAAAATATATATCATGATTTGATTACTGAAGCATTATATAGTTTATAGGCTTTTATTTGATATATAAAAATATTTTTAATTTTGTTTTAAAATTTATTTATTTTATACATGTTTCTATTACATATGCGTAAAATAGTTGAAGTAGAACAAAAAATATTTTTAAAAATTTATATTTTTATAATTACGTAATTAATTTATTTTATAATATATATAATAAAAAAATAGAATTTCGAATATGCATTTAAAATACTAAATAAAACCTAAGTTTGGAAACCCAATATATTATTTTTTAATAATGAAATGTAAGATTACATTTCAAACAATACTTGAAAAACCATAACATTACATGAAATTACTTTAAGATATATACAAAATGACATTAAAAAATAAAATAAACTAAACAGTGCCTATACGCTGCGTATCGCAATTTAATATAAAACGGAAAGAGCCCAAACCCAAAGAGAGCCTAAATTTTGAAAATACAATGAACCATAGGGTTATTCATGTAACTTTGGTTCTTATATAAACACCTACTAGGGTTTCTTCTCTGCCCACGTAGTCAGTCTTTGAGCAGCCGCAGGAGGCATCGAACCCAGGTTTGCTCTCTTCTCTTTCTCCTTCTTTATTCGTATGGGTATGGCGAAAGTAGCATTCTTTCTCTCATCTTATTGCTTGTGTCCAGTTTCTTTGTGAGACAGGTTAGGGTAAAGCAAAAGAAAATTATGTTTTCAATATCATTTTCAATGTCGCTTCGCCTGTATCACTTAAAAGATTGAATGTAGGGTTTTTAACTTGTTTTGTTTAGCGTGCATTTTCTTATTGATAGAAACAGAGAGTTCTCTGCAACCGGACAATGTATTTTACTTTCTGGTTCCTTATAGATATGAAGGCGTATGACAGTGGATAACAAATTTTCCCCTTAGCGCAAATGGTACTGCAGCTTGTGTGACACTATTTGTTTCTTTTTATTGGTTTTCCCCATTTAGGAGGAGGAGGAGAATGTCTCACAGGAAGTTTGAGCATCCTAGGCATGGGTCCCTTGGATTTCTTCCAAGGAAGAGGGCTTCTCGTCACAGAGGAAAGGGTATGAATTTTTTACATGCCTATTCGATTGCGTATCTATCGGAGAAAGCATGCATGTTTGTTTTTGTTTTAGATTTTTCTGTGGATTCTAACTTTCATCATGCATCTATACCATGCTCGTATTGTTGTTGGATCTGATGCAGTGAAGGCATTCCCTAAGGATGATCCAAGCAAGCCTTGCAGCCTTACTGCCTTCATTGGTTACAAGGCTGGAATGACTCATATTGTCAGGGAGGTTGAAAAGCCCGGATCTAGTAAGTTGCTACCGCTTATTGGCAAACTTTATTTTGTCATCTTTGCTAGGCTTATCCTCTAGTTAATAGATAATTGGCCATTTGGAATATTTTCCAAACTTGGATTGAAATATTAGGTTAGAGGAGTGTTTTCATCATTTTTTTGTTATGTAAATTGACATATCAATATGCTGTAGATTCTGTTATATCTGGTGAAGGAGATTCCTGTGCTTCCTATTATTGTTTTTGTTGCACTGATGATATGATAACGCTTAGTTGCAATCAGGTTGTACAAAATATGGTTATGAGGTTTTTAAATATCTAAGTAGATGTACAATCAATCAAATAGTGTTATCATTTTTCTAGGTTGTTTATCCATGATTGAACCTTTGTTCACATTGTGTAGAGCTTCACAAAAAGGAAACTTGCGAGGCTGTTACAATTATTGAAACTCCTCCCATGGTTGTGGTTGGAGTTGTGGGGTATGTAAAGACCCCACGTGGCCTTCGCTCTTTGAACACTGTTTGGGCTCAGCATCTGAGTGAAGAGGTAAAGAGAAGGTTCTATAAGAACTGGTGCAAATCCAAGAAGAAGGCTTTCTCTAAGTACTCACAGCAGTATGAGTCTGAGGATGGTAAGAAGAACATCCAGGCACAGCTGGAGAAGATGAAGAAGTATGCAACAGTCATTCGAGTTTTGGCTCACACCCAGGTAAATTATCCGAGATTTTCAAATTAGAAATATGCTTTATTTATTTGATTCACAGTTCATAGTTATTTCTTTAGTGGTTTTTTAATGTGTCCTTGAATTCTTCTGGTTATGTTTGTGTTGCAGATTAGGAAGATGAAGGGATTGAAACAGAAGAAAGCTCATCTGATGGAGATTCAGGTCAATGGTGGGACTATTGCTCAGAAGGTGGATTATGCATACGGTTTCTTTGAAAAACAAATCCCCATAGATGCTGTTTTCCAGAAAGATGAAATGATTGATGTGATTGGTGTCACAAAGGGTAAAGGATATGAGGGTGTTGTGACCCGTTGGGGTGTAACCCGCCTTCCTCGCAAGACTCACAGGGGTCTTCGCAAGGTGGCTTGTATTGGTGCTTGGCATCCTGCCAGAGTATCATTTACAGTTGCCAGGGCTGGTCAGAATGGTTACCACCACCGTACTGAGATGAACAAGAAGATCTACAGGGTTGGTAAGACAGGTCAGGAGACCCACTCAGCAATGACGGAGTATGACAGGTTAGTAAGTCTATGGAACTGTTGAGTGTTTTACATGAATGTGATGAATATTATGTTCCATGGATTTATCTTCGTACAAAGTTGAGATCATTGTTTTAATTTGTTTGACATATAATAACTCTGTGAATCAGAACTGAGAAGGATATTACTCCAATTGGTGGTTTCCCCCACTATGGTGTGGTGAAGGACGATTATCTTATGATTAAGGGTTGCTGTGCCGGACCTAAGAAGAGGGTGGTCACACTCCGCCGGTCACTTCTTACACAGACATCTCGAGTGGCAATGGAAGAGATCAGACTCAAGTTCATTGACACTTCCTCAAAGTTTGGACATGGCCGCTTCCAGACAACACAGGAGAAGCAGAAGTTTTATGGACGGCTGAAGGCTTGATTATATGCTACCTTATCAGAAATCTAGTCATCATAGTAAAATAGGACATTTGGTTCTCTACCTTTGATACTTGTTCCATTGGATAATTTTGTTTTAAGTTTTGGATTGTTGAAGAGTTTGAACGTCCGTCTTTTTGTTTTGGATTAAGTAAACTTCTTGAAGATGGGTTACTTTTTGGCTTATTTATCTATTTGGTTTTTTTGTGGTTTGAATTTTATACTTGAGTGGAAGTATTGTTAATCTGTTGGCTTGGTACTTTTACTTAAAATCATCGTAGCAAGAGCCTTAAATACGTATTATCATCATAGCAAGAGTTAAAGTAAGAGTTAAGTGAACTTTAAGCCTTACTAATTCCACTCAGCTACATCTTTTTGGAAAATTTTACCTATTCTGCATCAACTTGTTGCATAGCCAAACTCCCATGTCTATCAGATGCCCCCTTGGATAAGCCTAACTTAAAAACTTAAAAATATATAAATCATATTAAGTTAAATTGGAAGACTAGTTGAAATATATTAAAAATATCCAACAGTCGGGTTTTTCCAGCTTTCGGAGTTTGAATTTGAAAATTGCAACAGAAAAAAAAAAAAAAAAAAAAAAAAAAGATTTCTAATAAAATAGTAATTACTGGTCTTTTTTCAGTTTATTAAATTTTCAAGCTTTATGCTCTCATACTTTTAAGTACTAACAATTTTGTAGAGATCGAAAAAATAATTGAACGTCCAAAAACTTTTTGAACTCAAAAAGGCATTATAAAGAGCTAAAAGTTCTCCAGATTTAAGACGGGAGGAACAAGTTTATCTGAACAACTCTTAGCTTTTCTAATTCAGTTCTCAGGACTGCATTTCAGTAATATCATGTCATGCCATATATCTCGAAAGAGAAAAGAAGCCCACGCAGGATTGTGTAATTAACTGATAAATCCTGAGAAAGCAAATCTGTACAGAACTGTCATACAGCATCAGAGATTAAACTGAAAGAATGTACTGCTCTATTATTTTCCTACAAGAAGAAACGTGTACACTTAACTCATTGTCAGCCATAATAGAAAAATTACTCCCTATCTTCAGACTAAAAGAGAAAAAAGGCCACTGAACACAAGCAAGCACTAGCTCAAACTACGAAGAGGTGCCTATAATCATTAGAAATATAATGCCTGTTTGCCCTTCATTTCTTCCCCTTCCTTCTCTACCTAAGAATAAATTATCAGCAGAGCAGGCATCCATTACTCTGTTAACTAAACGAGATCTTCCAACACCTCCAAGTCTAGGGATCAGGAAACAGCCTGGACTGGACCATTTGATCTGAATCCCCGACCACGTCCCCGCCCACGGCCCCTCCCCCTGCCTCTTCCTCGTCCGCGCATTCCGCCTGAAAACATGAAAATTGCATTGTTAAGAATAGAGATAACACATATTGCTTGAAACAAAGACTACAGAGTGAAAATTCTGAATTTTTTGCCTTTCTATAGATCCCAAAAGAATTCTTTAGCTCAGATACTACTGTTTACTCAATCTCAAGAGCAGAGGTTTTTCCATCTATTAAATCAGCAATGCTAGATTCAGTGATAAAACAAACCCACTGGAAATATGAAGCTATTATCAGATTCTACTGTCTACCCCTAGCCCCTGGCCTCTGCAACACTTGCCATTTATATGATTGTGCTTGTTTGCATACTTAACAATAGCAAATTGCTTGGAAAGCAAGAATCTGTTGCATTCAATCACAGCAGAATCAAGAGCGGCTGTTTAAGAGAGCATAAAATAAGAATCAGCAAGAGAATATATAGCACGAACACTACAGCTGCTAATTTTTTTAGTTTTGACAAGCAACGCAGAGTTGTCACAGCTTTTTAAATCCTTAGATTTTTTCTTTTTATGAGAGCAAAAGATAAAAGTTTACCACGGCCTTGAGCAACTCCTCCACCATAGTCATTATAAAAGCCAATTTCTTGGGACATATTTCTACCACCGAAACGTCTTCCTCCACGCCCACGAAATCTACTGCCTCTTCCACGACCTCTTCCCCTGCTACCATAACTGCGCCCATTGTCCCAGTTGACATCTCCATTGTAGTCCACTGCTTCATTATTCATGTTAGCCCCTGCATTAGAAGAAGACAAAACAACCCATTATTATTGTTTATCCTATGAAACAGTAACTGGTTAAACAATTCGTACTTCAGCTCCAATATATGGCAATTCACTTTGTTAGGGGAAATAATATATGACTTAAAAAAAAGGATTTGAGGAAATCTCAGCATTAGAAAACAGAATTTTCATTTGCATACGAGTTCATGAGATCAAATCACGTGAAAACCTCCTCTCTTTGCATGTTTGTTTATAATCATATAGATGCAATATTTCAAATCAAAGTATTTCACACTCACCTCTTCCTCTTCCTCGACCACGGCGTCCTCGTCCCCGATTATAAGGAGAGCCCTCTATAGCTACATAAAAAAGAAATATTCATTATATCTTAAAGAGAACAACATTTATCTGCATAGTCATTATTTTACCTCCATCATAATCATGTTCATTCCATGGTTTCACTTGATCAGCAGGAATAGGTGGTTGGTAACTGCAATGATAGTAGTAAAATCCAATCCAGTAAGAGACAAGTGGCCTTAAGGATATGCTTCTCTGCGTAGCTAAACCATCAAATATAATAAGGAAATGCTGATTATGAGATTGTGATTCTGAAAGCTTGTACGGTATATAAGCGTCATAACATCATTAATCATTTTGAAAATCCTTGGCATCGTATTATTAGAAAAAGTTGCAAAATACTAGAATTAGTTGTAAATTTTCCAAATAATTTATGTTTTGTTGATCAAAAAACACAAATTTCCAAATTCCAGTTCAAAAGGCAAGATTGCAGTGAGACATTTTAGTGGTTGTTTTTGGGAGTCAAAGATAATAGTAAGGCATCTTCACACTAAAAGATTGCCCGGAAATATGGACGTCATGTTGACAATTCTCCTAGGCAATATGTAAAGATAAGACAAAAGAGAAAAGAAAAACCTCTACTAAATAGAAATATATGCATCCAATAAATGTACTGGCTTTACCACGCGAACATTTAATACAGTTTGATCAATGATTAAACCTAGTAAGCAATGAAAGGTAGGTAAGAATGCTAGACTTTACCCTGTGGAGGATGTATCCAGTTCCTTCTTCGACAAAGTGATGGTTATCACTGAAACATGGCGAGTAGTTTCCAGCCTGCAATTTGGAAATCAAACAAAAAAAAAGGCAAAAGAGAAATCTAAGTATTATCAACATCGTGCACTCTAAGCTAATAAAGGTAATTTAGAAAACACAAGCTCTTACGGAAGAAGACCCTCTTCGAGCGGCTCCCACATGTCTGTTATGTCAGTAGAACCAATTGAAGTGTTCTGATGAAGTCCAGCAATCCTTCTCTGGAAGACAAAAAAAAAATTGAGGCCATACAAGGTATTTGTATGACCAATCACGTGCGGGATAGTGAAGGATCAGGTCAAGACGTATAAAGAATAAAGAAAACGAAAGAAACCATAGAAGTATAGAATTACCTTAATCAATTCAGCAATCATCACAGTCTTGTTTATCGCCCTGCCCATTGCTTTCAGAGCAATTTCATTTGATCCTTTCTCCTGTTGGAAACAAGAGCAATATCCAATGATATAAATCATTTTAAAACGTAGAACGCATTCTCCAGCAAAATCAAAGCCAACAAATCATCACATTAAAATGATCAGACAGAAATTTAAGTTACCAACGGACAAATAGACATTTTTTTTTGGATTTTCTAAATCCAGTTCCTCAAGTGAGATCTGAGTAACCAACGATAATAAAGTTATTTTAAAAACGGAAAAAAAAAAGAACGGAAAACGCATTCCATCAAATATATGCACACAATGTGAAATCACTGCTACATCAAATTCCTCTTCTCCTTCCTTCAGATTGTGAAATGCTTTCTATCTGCATACATAAATTCAATTGATACGCCTACCTGCTTGTTTAAACTTGAACACATTATACATGTATAAATAAATAACAGAGAATGGGAAAGAGGAAGAACCTGAAGGAGAGTAGTGGCATAAGTGATATAGTTCCTCATTCTGCCCTGCGTAGTAATACGAATCTCATTCTCGTTAATCGGCGTTTCTGGCCTCGGCTTCTCCACTCTTTGGTACCGATCCATCTCTATAATTAACAAATATAATTATGACAAAAACATAGAGTAAGATCAAGTTCCAGAGCAAAATAGATCTGGAGGCGCCAAAAACCAAAAAGAAACAAGATTTTTCTTGAGATAATCACCCGTTCGGCCTCTTCCCTGCAAGTTTCCTGTGTTTTTTGAGTTTTTTTCTATTTTTTAAAAAAAAAAAACCAGAGTGAAAAAGAAGAAAAAATGGAGTAAATTTTTGTGTAGTGAAGAGTGAAGGAGGGAGAGGGAGTAGGGTTTGAAAATGGAGTGCGGTCGTATCGCCAAGGAGACCGCCTGATTCAACTGATGACGACGTGGATGATGATGAGATATGCTTTGTACTTTTCAGCTATCCATGGCCCCCGCAAAAAGTGAAACAAACGGTTCGTCTTTCGACTCGTGCGGTTTTATCTGGCCAATATAAATTTGACACTTGTCAATGTCGCCGATGGAGGACGCAGTTTCATGCTAGGTTGTTAGATCGAACCGGCGTCGTTTTACGGTGTCTCCATGCTTGGGGACTAGCTGATCCGTACGAGATTGCATGGCCCACTGGCATAGTGTCAGATCTGAGAATACGTTGTTTTTTTTTTTTTTTGTGGATTACCTCATTGTTTCACCCGTTAAATATTCTTGTTTTTCCCTTGAACACTCATTTTTGTAATATTTTTTAATTTTAAAAAATGTATATTATTGAAAATTTTAGTTACTTACATAATATCCTCTAAATCATAGTTTTAATCTTTCGGTTGATCAAACTTTTTCTTCTTTAATTATAATTTATCATATAGGCATAAATAAAATTCGGCAGATAAATTAATTCAAAACTTTTTGCAATAAATATGTTCTTATATTATTATATATAAATTAACAGTTAAAACTAATAAAAGAATAATTATGTACTCTATTTTTAATTCAACAAATTTATATTTAAATATAAAAATTTAATCTATTTTAATTTTAAATTTTCATATATTAATAATATAGATGTAATAATTGTGAATTTATAGTATAAGATTTAAATAGTAAAGTAAGAAATCTTTTATTAATTTAAATAATTAAAATTTATATTAAAAGTTGAACAAGTCCTTCGTGTTTATTATTTTTATTTTATTTTTGTTACTATATTTTTATGAGTATATTCATTTTATCCGATATTTTAAAATATATTTTGATTCAATGACAAACTCTTATTATATCTAGTAACATAAAAATTTGCCCTCACGCAATATTTAAATTTGATATAAAAAAATATAATAAAATAATCAAAAACTTGTTACTATCTTATTTATAATTATTTTTTGATACATTTAAAAGAACAATTATCTTAACCCATTTATAGAACTTGAACAATTAATCTTTTATAGCAATATTGTTTTTTTTTTTTTTTGGCTTTTTGAATGATAAACCTATTTATAAGGTTTAGATTGTTCTCATTTTGCTTGTTACTGCTAAGATAATTAATTTTTTCAATTACAAATCAATATTTTGATTGCTTAAAAATTTTAATCATGAATTTATTTATAATTTTTATATTTTATTGCCTGAAAGTATAATTTTAATCTCTTATTTGTCTAAATACTTATATATATTTGTTGGTACGAGACCTTTCAAAAAATAAAATATTTTTCTACTTCACTTGTGAATAACAATATTGAAACTTACTTTTATTCTGTAACGACCTCGGAAATGTGAAAATGAAATGAGTATTTAAACACATAAAATGCGGAAGTGAGATTAAAATTTCAGTTAACATCGCTTACACGAAAACCAAAAACGTACTTAAAATATAAAAGATTAAACTAACTAAAAGAGAAACTCGAAAATAAAACTATGAGTATGACTACAGAATCTCTAGGCATCCCCTTCGTCGTCCTCCTGCGGAACGGGCTCGGGAACCATATCTTCCTGATCTGAAATTGTTAAATAAGGAGTGAGCTACACTATCCCAGTAAGAACATCACGATATCTCACCGTCACGGAGGTAAAGGTGGGTAGAAAAACACAAAAGACCAACGGAGCATGATTTACAACAAATCCTTTTATTCATGATAAAACTTTTACCATCCACTTACCTCGGTGGAATTCATGAAACAATATAAGAAAACAATAACATTATCACAATCATGGAATAATATAAGCTGTAAAACATAGCACTTATCACGCCTTTTGTAATTCAATCATTATACCACATATCCTTTTCTCATTTACCAGCCTACTAGTATCTATGGGGGTCCATAGGGGTCCCGCTACCCGTTAACCTTTAACATTCATAATCAGTTTCCAGGGCCGTCCCCATACCCCGTCCGGTATGGGCGCCAAAACCATAAACCTCAATACCTCGTCCGGTATGAGGGTGAAACGGGCCGTCCCCATACCTCGTCCGGTATGGGCGCCAAAACCATAAACCTCAATACCCCGTCCGGTATGAGGGTGAAACGGGCCGTCCCCATACCCCGTCCGGTATGGGCGCCAAAACCATAAGATCTCCATACCCCGTCCGGCATGTGAGACCACAATCCTGGTAGGGTTCCCTACGGACCCGGTCCGTCCACCATCTCCCACGATATCTAGTCAGGCTGACCCCATCATACAATTATCAGTCTACACAATCTTTCATTTTTCTTTTCCTCAATAAGCATCATCAATTCATATTTAAACAAGTAAATCGTAATTCATGCCAAACAGACAACATACAGTATCAGTTCTTCAGTCTTTCAACCCATAATTAATAAAACAGTAATATATGCACTCAAAACTATAAAATGAACACATCAAACCTCATAATGCATTTAAAGCTGTGAAACAGGCCAAATAACAGTAAATCATCAATCACACTAGACTCGGGCTCCATTAGCAACCTTAAGCAATTTCACACATGCGTTAATTCAAGAGATACCGTTTTATCATTTTGAACTTTAATACCGTGATAGGAGATAGGGTGAGGGGTCCTTACTTGTTTTCGGGATCCGAATACGATTCACAGTGCGCCTACAGGCCGTCCCTAATTTTTCCTGAATTTTTTCCGGAGAACTGAAACACACTAACGGTACCTGCACGTGTTCCAAAAAATCTCAAATTAGGCTCAGGGCCCCTTTTTGGCCAATATCGCAACTCCGGCACGGCGGCGATTCGCCTCGGGTTGGCTGTTTTCGGCCGTTTCCGGCCGAATTCGGCCACACTCGCATCGGTCCCTGCGAGAAAACAACCCTAGGGCCCTCGGGGGGCCAAAAAATCACGGAGAAACGGAGCTTACTGGCGGCGGCGCTCTCGGGCGCGGCGGCTCTCCGGCGAGGTCGTGGTTTGGTGATTCGGCTCCGGTCAACCTGTAGAGAAAAGAATGGTGATCACGGTGATAAAAAAATTGCATCAAACGGAGGCCGGGAAGGGCCTCGTCGGAGGCAAAAATCGAGAGGGGGCGCGGCGGCGCCGCTGGTCTTCGGCCGCGTATTTCGGCCGTTTGGCCGAGATTTTGACTTCGATTTGGCCACAGGAGGAATCAGCGTGGAAAAACGAGTCGGGGGTATGAAATTTACCTCGATCGGCGGTCAGAAATTTCCCCGGTGCGGCGGCGGGTGGCGGCGGTCGGCCTCTGGTTCGTCTTCTCTGGCGAGCGGCAGGCGGCTAGGGTTTGTGGTCTGGTGTGGGGGTTCTATTTATAACCCCTTGCCTTTTGATCTCAGCCGTTCATTTTGTTTTAATCTGGGTCGTTCGTTTTTGATTGAATCTGGGCCGTCCGTGCTATTGTATCTGGGCCGTCCGATCGCGCGATTGATCTGGGCCGTCCGATCGTGCCCACACGGATCGCCAACGTGGCCCGTTCCGGAGCGACGTGGTCTTGCCACGTGGCAGGCCCCGGTTGGCCGGGACTGCTGACGTGGCTGCCGACGTAGCTTTTTTTTTTCTCGGTCCGAGCGCTACAACTCTCCCCCCCATAAAGAAATTTGGTCCCCAAATTTGCCTCATTACTCTTGATCAAACATATGGGGATATTGGGCCCTAAATTCTGATTTCAGTTCCCAAGTCGCCTCCTTGGGCGTGTGGTTCTGCCACATGACTTTTACAAATGATATTTCCTGGTTGCGGAGTATTCTGCTTTCTCGGTCCGTGATACTGACCGGTACTTCTTCATAAGACAAGTCTTCTCGGAGTGGAAGCGGTTCGTGAGCCAAGACATGAGAAGGGTCCGGATTGTACTTACGTAGCATAGATACATGAAACACATTATGAACCTGGGAGAGCTCAGGAGGCAGTGCAAGTCTGTAGGCAGTGGTAACAATCTTGTCTAAGATTTCAAAGGGTCCAATATATCTGGGGTTTAATTTTCCCCTCATGCCGAACCTGCTAATTCCCTTGAAGGGGGTGACTTTAAGGAACACCCGGTCGCCTTTCTCAAAGGCCAGGTCCCTTCTCCGGGTATCGGCATAACTCTTCTGCCTACTCTGAGCTGTCTGGATGTTCTTCTTGATCTTAACTATCTTGGACGTGGTTTCTTCTACCAAATCCGGGCCAAACAATCTTCTATCGCCCACTTCCTCCCAACAGATCGGCGACCTGCATGGACGCCCGTATAGCGCCTCGTATGGGGCCATGCCGATGCTTGCTTGGTAGCTGTTGTTGTAAGCAAACTCTATCAGGGGTAGGTGGTCGTCCCAATGGCCCCCGGAGTCAAGGACACAAGCTCGGAGCATATCCTCCAGCGTACGAATTGTCCTCTTTGATTGTCCATCGGTTTGGGGGTGGAAGGCAGTACTAAGAGACAGCTTTGTTCCCATAGCTTGCTGGAAACTATTCCAAAACCGAGAAGTGAATCTGGGATCCCTGTCGGATACCACTGTTACTGGAACTCCATGTAGTCTGACTACCTCCCGGATATACATTCTTGCCAACTTGTCCAAGGGGTCAGTCATTTTGATGGCCAGGAAGTGGGAAGACTTAGTGAGTCGGTCAACAATTACCCATATAGCATCATGTCCCGATCGTGCCTTGGGTAGTCCCGATACGAAGTCCATGGTGATATGTTCCCACTTCCACTCTGGAATCGGTAAAGGCTGAAGTAACCCACCCGGGCGTTGATGTTCTGCTTTGACCTGCTGACATACCAAACACTTAGACACAAAGTCGGCTATATCTCTCTTCATCCCATTCCACCAGAACCGAGGTCGCATAGTTTGGTACATTTTCGTACTTCCTGGATGCATGACGAACCTTGAGCTATGGGACTCTGTCATGATGTCTCTTCTTAACTCACTGTCATCTGGGACACACACTCT